TAGCACGGGACTGCACTAAAATTAGCACGGGACTGGGACAGTCCCGACTTTGGGACACGAATAGTCAGTCCCATGTTAAAAATAGCACGGGCCTGTGCTAAATATAGCGCGGGCATGTGCTAAAATTAGCGAGGGACTGCGCTAAAATTAGCACGGGACTGGGAAGGTCCCGACTTTGGGACAGGAACAGTCAGTCCCGAGTTATAAATAGCACGGGCCTGCGCTAAATATAGCGCGGGCCTGTGCTAAAATTAGCGCGGGACAGCGCTAAAATTAGCACGGGGCTTGGGGTAAAAATAGCAGGGGTCTGTGCTATATTTAGCCTGCGCTAAAAATAACTCAGGCCTGCGCTAAAAATAACTCAAGCCTGCGCTAAAAATAGTGTGCCCTACGCTAAAAATAACACAGACTGACACTAAAATTAGTGACGGGCTAAAAGTGGCCCGACTTTGGAATACTAAAGGTCGGCCTTGCCCTCGAAAACAAAACACCCCTCTTATCGCTAATAAGGGGCCCAATCCCATATTCCCCTTTGACCATTTCGGGCCGTACTCTCCTCGACACGGTGAGTCCGGTCCCAAGTGGTCAATTCTATTTTTCTCACTAACCCTTGGTCCGTTTTTAGTACCGTTTGGACCGGGGCCCTACTAATATGACCCTCGCAGACGCGGCGGTTCAGCCCAAAAGCCATGATTCGATCTCCATGGGGCTGGACTGTCGTGTCGTCTTGTCCGCTGACTCGACCCAAGGGCCAAACCAATGTGTCAACATTCTGCTGATCGTGACCATATGCAGTCTTATGGCGTGGAGGCTGGCCGCGACGAGCCAACTATACGTTGACGCGGTGCGCCGCTGTCCGACAACCATACCAAACCCCATTCCTGGCGTCCCCGCCAGGATCCCTCTACTATAAAGGGATAATAGCTTACTTACTCTCATCATTCTCACTAGAATTCGCATCATTAAGTGTGCTGCGCTATTATGCTCTCGCCACTGCCACTGCTTTCATCGCTCTCAACTTGCTTGCGCTCTTGCCGCGCTTTTGCTTATCGTCGCGCAACTAATCAGCCTTTGCCATGGCGCCAAAGACGCGAAGCTCGGGTGCTGGACGTGGGAGAGGAGGCCGACAGGGGAAGGCGCTAGATCGACCAATCGATCTGACATACGAGGAGGAGAGACCAGAAGAGGAGGAGGAGGATAGATGGGAAGGAACGCGCTTGCGCCATCGCCCAGAGGACCGGCGCGAGCGCACGCCGTCGCCGAGGTCAATGATGTACTATATATATAAATACGAGCAGCGCAACGGCAGTCTGCCTCCACGCTTCGAACCGCCTTCTCGATCTTACCCCTCGCCATACCATCCTTCCTCCTCTGCTCAACCTTATCCTCGCCAACTCATCGTCCTGCCACTGACGCCTCGCCCTGCGCCACCGCTGTTGCCACGTGTACCAGATCCGCCCGTCGCCCGTCAGGCTGCGCCGCCCAACCATCGCTCATGCCTCATACTTGCGCTATTCTTCATATGCCAGTTTGAACTGTGCGGCCTCGTATGCTATCTGATATATAGAGGCATCATACAAAACATATCTGAATCATCAAAAGTGCTCGCCCGCTAGGGCTCGAGTGCTTGCTCAATAAGGCATGGACCTCTGGTCCAAGCCACTATCAAAATCAAAGAAGGATTAGTCTCATCAAGCTTGCGTGGTGCAGTCACCGCACGCAAATATCATGACTGCTCATGCAGCCCAATCATACTACCAATCCCGTTTTCTTGCACTACTAAATCAGTCTCAATCTTAGGTCAAACCTCTCATTAGGTTTGACCTCGTGCATCATCACAATCAGACCCAATCCTAGACCAAACCCTATCATTAGGTCTGGCCTAGCAGTCCAAGTCTCAGTCCTGGCCTGCTCATCTCAACCTCATCGGATCAGTCCATCTCATCAGCACAATATAATCCTCATCATCATCTCAGTTATAATCCAGCCACGGGTGGATATAGGACTAACCATCAAACTCAGGATCATCTGGGTCATCCTGACCAAAGGCCGCCTCATAAGGGGGAAACATACCAAACCCCTTTCTCTTTGTCTGCTGGCTCTGTGCCACTTACTGCCGGGTCATACCAAACCCCGTTGTCTTCATCTGGCTGTAGGGTACCTGCAAAACAGAGATCATGTCATGCCAAAAAAACACCGAGAAAAAGGTCTCCCTAAAGACCCTTGCCAACACCCCTTCCTCACTCACTCTCAGAGTCTTACCTTTCGGCCTTCCAAGAGTGCCCCTGCTCACCCTGGTGGGCTCCTCCGCTGACCCAACCCGACAAGCAGAGCAAAGTCAATCCTGATTCCCAGTCATGGCGGTCCGACCACCCTCTGAGCCCTTGCTCAGAACAGCTCACGGGGAGCCGCACACCCCTTCATGAAGCTCACTCCGATGAGTTCAGACCCATGGATCAGAAGCTCATTAGTCGACATCAGAGCATCTGTCTACTCGCTTGACTTCTTGACTAACGTCCGGCTCTATGCAATTGTGTGGGGAGCCATCCAACACCCGACCAGACCCGGTTGGTGAGTCAAAGCGAGTCCGCAATTAAGCTTTGCAACAGTGGGCTAGGAGGCCATAATGGCCCTGTTGCGAGCTGGGCAGTGGATACCTGGCTTGGCCCGATGCCAAGGGAATGCCCCTGGAGACACGGCTCCCTAGAGACACCCCGATCATAGTGATAGTAGGAGTCTACCACCTTGATCAGCCAATTGTCGGATTTAGACTGGGAGAGGCTCAGGATGCCTCCTTCCTTTCCAGCAGGCGGATCAGGTCACCACGCGGTGACCCGGGAACGGCTAACCACCCGAGGGTTCGAGGCTATCAGCCGCTATGGCTCGGACGCCTCGTCAACCCAGCTAGCCTCTGGACTTGTGAGAACCTGCTTCAGGGAATCATCTCTTGCTCAAGATGCGCAGTTGAAACTCTCTGCCTTTTCACGAGGGACATAAGTGCTGACACCGCAGGGGATGCCACTGGGGTTAGATTCTCACCGGTGAACCGTTGCGAAAACCCAGCGGCTGCAATGGGAACACTCCTTCCATCAAGAAGAATGCAACAAGCTCCAAACCGCTGCGATGCTGAGTGATCTTCGCCCCGACCACAAGATCGGACAGATTACTCCATCGACTATGACACATGACTGACTACCTATCCCTTTAGAGCTCGGCAGTACCTAACCGCAAAGGCCCATCTGGAGAGGAACCCCATCCGATGATGTTGAGTCCCTTGCCACTGAAACACTTCACTAGGTTAAGYACCACCCTCTTTCAGGAATAACCAATCAACTTGTGTCAGATGATGCTGGGCAATCCTTCTTACGCTATTGTACTAGGAGGTTGCCCCATCAATTGAGCGCTGACTTATGAGAGGAAAAAAACATATTTTCACATTATCCCACAGCCATTCATTCCACAATGCCATGCAGACCAATAAAATACAATAAGAGGGAAGAACGGAAATCCCAAGAACTGTCTCCCAATCCCCCAGGTATATACTAGGACTGACACGTGACAAGCCAGATACAATGCAATGAACTGAAATTTAAAATTTTAACTTACATTCATACAAAACTGGGGCCAATCTGGGCCCGGCAGACACATGAGTCCACCATTGAGCCGAGCCATCATAGGCTGCTCGCATCCAGCTCCGGAATCCGAAATCATACCATAATCATAGCAGTTGACTGTCGGCTGCTGCTGGCGGCACACGGGCCACGTCCCAGTAAAAAATCATCATCGATAGTTGGCGGCTCACTGGCCACGTCCCAACTCATAATCATCATCGATAGCTGGCAGCTCACTGGCTACGTCCCAGCAAATAATCATCATCATCTGTAGCTGGCGGCAACACTGTCCACATCCCAGCTCATAATCATCGATAGCTGGCGGCTCACTGGCCACATCCCAGCCAA